GTTCAAGGAAACTATTTCGAAGGACTTGTGTGATTTATTTGTAAATTATTATGTACATTGTTGAATAAATAATAGACGATTAAAACTTTTCAACCACCCCACATAATTATACCAAAATCCTTTGTTTAGGTGGGAAGTATTGTTGTAGCAACTTATTTTATTGTAGCAGAGTCAACACCTTAGCCTTTTTAACTTTCAGTTGACATCCCTTTATTATTATTTTGGCGAAAGCTCTGGGACTTTGAAAGTTCGGAAAAAAAAAAGCACGAAGAAAATAAAACCGAAGACAATTCGAGGCTCTCAAAGAGAACTTTGATCCCGCCCGATTATTCAGAAGATATCATAATTACTTCCGGGAAAAAAAATTATAAGATAGCATGAAGAATTATTAACTATTATCTGCCCCAGTATGAATAATAGCTTTGATACAAAAAGGAACTATTCTAAAAGAAGAGCAAAAAGAAAACTTGGCTCAAACTAATTTCAGTAGACTAAGTAAATTTTCTCTCTCTTCTCAGCAAGAAAATATTCTAAAAACCTTGGCTCTTTATCTCAATAATAAATAACAAATATACCAAACAGATAATACATGTCATTCTATTGTGCTGATTAACCAACCGAATAATAGTATGTATGGCGCCCAACCAAATCCTCGAATGTGAGTTATTGGGGTAGTAGCCTCGCGTACCATGTTCTGCTCATGTGAAAATTTTTTGTGATAAGCTCATGACGTATTTAGCACACGTGCACAATGCTTAATTACATTTGTAGAAGGCAAGCGAATTACACTAATCGTCGTACGCTGGCACGTTCTTTGAAAATGTGACAAGATAAACAAAATAAGGAAATGTATATTTACAGAGTATATGTATTATTATATATCAAATTCACAATCGGATATTTGTTATTCTTTTCATATCAGGCTTTCAGGAACGCGTTCTCTTAAATAACGTCGACTCAGAGTTGAGAGGTGATGACGAGAGCAACGCGGAAGAGAACAAAGAAGACAACATGCTAAAATTGGAGCGTGCTGGATATTTGATAAGACTTTATCCCTCCCTAACATCATCTTCAATATTTCTATCCATTTAATGTGGAAATCCTCAGAGGAAAGGCGTCATTTTTTTACAGAACGATTGCTTTATATGAACATAGGGGAATAATGATAGAGCTACGACACAACGCTTGAACTATACGTCTTGCAACCGGTGGAGTTGCAGTCGATGCAACTGATATCATATACAGTGAACCCTCTCGTTAATATCAACTTCTCTCTATTAGCAACAGTAATTACAGAACATATTTAAATTCTCTCGCATATATCAATTTTGATATCATACCCCCTATCAACACATATCAGATTAAATGTACCTCGCTGATATCAAAACAGCGAATGGAAACCAGAAACCGTTACACATTGTAGTAACTATATTTTAATTATCAAAAATTATACTATAATTATAATACGCATGATTAATTCACATAGTAATAGTAATAGCCGATAGAACAGATGAGAATTTGAATTGATCACGTTACTTTCTGCTTGGCGCAGTTGTGCAAATTAAGTTCCACGTTGAAGTAGTCACGAGACATGAAACAGATACTTTGAAATTTCTCTTTACATTAAAAGTGAATGAAATAAGTAACATAGTAAGAGTAAAGCAACAACATATTTTGACTTATTCAACTAGTAAGGACTATTATGAG